ATATATATATATATATATATATATATATATATATATATATATATATATATATATTTATATATATATATATATATTTATATATATATATATATATATGTATATATATATATATATATATATATATATATATATATATATATATATATATATATATATATATATATATATTGATGTACATACAAAACATTAAAATAATAATATAAAGAAAACATTCTCTATAAAAAATCCTAAAAATTTAACAAAAGTTATTAAAACTTATGCTTCAATACGCTGTATACTTACTTTTATATATATAAAAAAAATTTGAGTTAAACATATTTAATGAAGAAAATCGAAACTCTTAAAAATTTTAATGAGGAGGAGCTGTTAGTAAAGCCTGCTTTTTAACAATATTTATTTATTGTCAAAAGCATACATTGTTAAGAACAGAGGATAACAACACTAAAACACATTTTTTCAACAATATTTCTTCAACACATTTTAGAAATACACTAATTACAAACAGAATTAATTTATGTGTTTTATTATGACAATACACCACTCTGCTGGCGAGGACAATATTTTTGCTCTCAACAAAGCCAGGTCACATTATAGCAAAGTACACCACTTGGCTAGCAAGGTCAACAATCTTGCTGTAAACTAAGCCTAGTCACAACAATTTGAAACCATGCAAACAACATAATTATCACTTACAAACTATAAACATATTACATATAACACACCACAAACATTGAAACATTTCATATATTTACACACTTACAAAATATAAACCCATATAACCTTAACACATATATACACAATAAAACACAATATAAATAACACACATATATAGAAAAATATATAAATTTAAAAAAATATATAAATTTGAAACTTTACAAATACAACCTTATTTTTGTTTTTTGAAATACCTCGTAATAAATGTTTAACAACTTTCAAAAACAAACTATCAAACAATCTGGTTTTTTATACGGATTTTTATAACTTCTTTTAAATAAGGTATTAAACGATCTTGTTCTTTAACATGTAACATTGAGTTGACCGTGTGAGATGCAAGTGTTTTAAACACTAACTTTATCAAGAGTTTGACCTCTTGACCTTTGAAATGAGCAACGTCTTCTTGAGTCGTCTTTTAATTTAAAAATTAGAGATTAATTTTATAAATTAATAAATTTAAATACAATTGACAAAAGACTAAAATGCATGATTTAAATAAATCACCTGACTTTAAAAGTTACTTTACTAATTCAATAATAACATAATGTTCATCCTTTACTACAGAAGTTATCAAATAAAAATTGTTGATCTTATCACTAATTAAGCTGATGAAACAAAGTTTTTGATCTCATTACTGATTAAGCAGATACTGACAGATTATTAAGATTTGAAAGAGCCTCATTACGCGAGTTCAGAAGTAAAGCAATTTATAATAAAACTCAAAGGCCAAGTATGGTAAAAAAGTCCGTGTAAAGGTGCACGAATGGTGAGCAGCAGCAGCAGCGGCAGCGTTAAGTTAAGTATTAATTATAAGCGATTAGTTTTTTTATAAATGACATTGTGTTTTTTGTTTTAATTACAACGATAATTATACTTTTGTAAGATAAATTATACTTTTGCGAGAGCCATAAATTGCTCCCGTAAACCATTTTAGGGGAGTGTGGGCAAGAGCGAGAGCTAAAGCTCTCGCTTCCTGCTGAGGTCTGTATATATATATATATATATATATATATATATATATATATATATATATATATATATATGCAGGCTTGGTCGGGAAGCGGGAGCGATCGCTCTCAAATACTGACCACGGAAATTATATTTAGTTGCGAAAAACTGGCCAGGTTTTTTAGTTGTTTTGAGAACATTTAACTTTATGTACAAAACAATAAATTTTGGTTTTATGGACATACATGGAAACATAAAAAACTTAAATGTTCTCGGTGTGGAAGAATGAAAAGAATATTCGCAAACTCTAAAAACCCGCCAAAATAACGAACAAACTAATTTTATTGGTTCAAAAAATATGCTGACTAAGCAAAATAAAGTTCTACAGTATTCTGTTGAAATGTTTTAGAAATTGTATTATCCACGATTTGTTACATTATGAGATTTCTAGCATAGATTGTTATAAAAATATATTATCAATTCTATGGCTCATTCTCGGAGCCACATCTGCATAGCCATAATTCTTATAAGCTATTATTATTTGTTTACATAAATAAATGTTTTAAATATATATTATTTAAATTGTCAAAATTTTGAAAGTTTATTATAAATTGTAGATTTTATTAGTATATACTTATTTAAAGAGTATGTATTTTTTATGTAAATGCAATATTGTGTATCTGTTTTTTATCAATTTAATTTGTAAACATAGACTTACAAAAATAATTGCGTTTTCAATGAAGTTATTAATAATCATTAAAATTAATAAAATTAATTATGTAGCAAACATATAAGAAATTTCTGGTTACTAAACACAAACTATGCAAACTAACTCGCGGATGAACAAGCACCGCGTCTGAGGTCACAACAGAACATAAATATATATAGCAAGTTATTAGACATAAAGAAAAGTTTCTAGATATTGGTTCACTAAATCTAATTATTTTCCCTTAATTAGTTGCCGTACTTAAAAACTCGTTATACTTTTTTCTGCTTTAAATACTAATTTAAATTAAAAAGCCCACTCCACTAAACATCATCAGTGATATTATGAAGCAGTTTTGCTTCCTCGTCATAAAAGTATTTTTAACTTTTTTAGTTGATTTCTATCTAGTAAATTTAATTTCTATAGTAATTCAATGATTTAATTATTTCATTTGTTTATCCTTCTAAGAAGAATTCTTTCAAAGATGTTAAACTTTTCAAACTAAGCGAAACATAAAAAAGGTATTAAACAAATTAACTTTTTTATTTATAAAATAATTTAGCTTAGATAAAACTAAAGCTTGCAAACTTTAATAAATAAAGAACATTTTTAAACAAACGTAAGATGTTACTTTATATAAAAAACGTCGCTTAATTTTACAAAAAAATTATAAAAGAGCGATGTTTCAAAAATATTTGTTCTTAATGTAATTTATTTTCCTTTAAGTTTCTTGCGTTAAAAGATATTTATTAACCTAATTTTTTTTTGGTAATTGTTTCTCATCGGTCCAACTAATCTTTTGCGCATTTTTTTTTTTGCTTTTTGAAATGTTCTCAAAACAACTAAAAAATCTTGCCAGCTTTTCGCAACTAAATATTATTTCTGTAGTCAGCAATCAAGAGCGATCGCTCCCGCTTCAAGACCAAGCCTGTATATGTGTGGGTGTATATATATATATATATATATATATATATATATATTTATATATGTTTATATATATATTTATATATATATATATATATATATTATATATATATATATATATATATATATATATATATATATATATATATATATACATATATATATATATATATATATATATATATATATATATATATATATATATATATATATATATATATATATATATATATATATACATATATATATATATATATATATATATATATATATATATATATATATATATATATATATATATATATATATATATATATATATATATATATATATATATAAAACCTATGAACATCATGATCAATCCCATCAACAGTTATCGATCATGAACAGTTAATTTAAATTTTGATTCTAACTTGTTTTTAAATTAGTTCATATAAAAAATCATCTATGCTTTACATTACTATACATAAATTATGCAAAAAACTAACACTACATGATGTAAAAATAATTTTAAACATGAATAATTATAAAAATTATATCAATTAAAAATTATTTTGCTAGTTCCTGGATGCTTCAGCCTAACTTCCTAAATGTGTTTTATGTCCAAATAATAGTCACTACCATTTATCATTTATCAATAATAGACAATACCATTTATCAAAAAATTTCAAGTTTTTTACTTACTAATATAAAGCTCTTTTTGAAAACGTTTTTAAAATCCATGACCTTTTAATTTGAATACTAGCAAAGTTATGAAATTTTAAGTTGTGTTAATTAACCAAGCTTAATCAACAAATTATTTTCACATATTCACAGGATTATTTTTCATTTATTGTAATGTTTATAAAGATCATAAGTTGAAGTGTCTCAAGAGTTTTTTACCGTAATTTTTAGAAAGATGGTAAAGCTATCTATCAAAGATATCTAGCATAAATTCCAATCAAGTACAACACTGATTTCACAAATTATTTTTTATAATTCCTGTATGTTATACTCTTTTCCCACTCGATGTTACACCCTATCTTCACAGCTCTATTTGATATCTAATAAATATTTGTGTAGATACAGTGTTGTATAGTTATTCCAATATCTATACGCAAATAAATTGTTATCCCTGTATACTTAGTATGCACGTTCCTAGTATATTTTGCGCACAAAAAAAATAAATAAAAATAAAATAAGAAACACAAGTTTTTTTGTTTTTTTGCTGTAATAAATGTTCTTCATTTCTAGATTGTACCTGCTTTATGCCAAACCCTCAGTTAATTCATAATTTAAAAGTCTTGTATTACATGTTGATGCAATGCGATATATAGAGAGCAAAAAAAGTGATTTTATTTTTATGTCTTTAGAAACATCATTACTATTTGGTGCATGGTACTCGGATAACCTGAATAAAAACAGTTTTTTTCTGTTTCTTTTTAACCTGGGCCATTTAAATTTAGTATGACATGGGTTATTGGAATAACTTAGATTTTATATTCTTCCAGGTATGGGATTAACTCTAAATATTTGTATATTCATATTAACATGAATTTAGGATGAATAAGTCCTGATAATCAAAACCACGAAAGTTTCCCTATTCTAAATAAAGAAAACTATTTTAAATAAAATAGATGTAATTAAGTATTGTAAACTTGATAAAAATTTGATTAAAATGTTTTAAATTTCAGATAAATATTTTTTTACATTATTTTTACAATTATAGCTCAAGCTTGGTTGAATGGTGATGATGAAGCTTTTGATCAAATTATACATTTGATCCTAAATGAGAATGTTAACATAAATTATCAACACTCTCATACTAAAATGACTGCACTAATTGTTGCAGCTGCAAGAGGAAATCTTGCCCTTACTGAACAATTGGTTGAACTTGGTGCTAATTTACATATAAGAGATCCCAATAACAAGCGAGATGCATTTGAATGGGCAAGTCATTTTAATCAAGACCATGTAGTTGAGTTCTTGCATTGTATGTATTATTTTTGAAATTTTTGTATTTTTTCTTCCAAATTATATATATATCTTTTTTTTCTTTTGCAATTTGTAAAAGTTTTTAATATACTATTAATGCAATTCTAATTTTAAAATCATAATTTTAATTAAGTCATCTAGATTTAACAAAAAAATTAGTTATCATTTAAAAACAAGATAGATACCAATTAAAGAAATATAAGATTCTATAAACGTAAAAAAAAGTCAGAAAATTTAAAAAAAAAAAAAACTAGAAAAGTATTTTCAGCTAGAAAATGTTCAAAAATATGGGCTTAATTAAAATGTTCAAAATTATGGGCGGAAAAAGACACATCTAAACTATTTACAGTATTTGTGTTAATAAGCTAAACTAATAATTTAATATTTCACGACAAGGAGGTAATCCACTGATAAGGGTGGTAGCCCTCCTATCAAGATCAAATGGCTCTTGGATGGAACCAAGAAAAGAAGGTAAAAGAAATTATTGCTTTTGCAATTAATCAAGTCAAAACCGAGCTAATGGAGAGGATTGACAATCTGGAGCAAATTGTCATTGATAAAGAAGTTGTAATCAATGATTTGAAATTGAAACTTGAAATACTTGAGAAAAAAAAGTTTGTTTAAATGACACTAGCAGTAAGATTTCAAAATACAGCAACTTTGCAGCAGCCTTAGCTAAGCCAGGATCCCAAGCTAACACAGCTTTTGTTAGTGCAATATCTGCAAATGCTAAAGCAACTAAAAACAAAACTTAAAAGGCTATATTTGTAGGCATGTTCCCTTCAGATACCTCAGTCCATATTGCAGACGAATCCATAAATAAAGATAAATAAATAAAGATCCATAAATAAAGATCGACTCGCAGAATAAAGCCCAAGATCAGTTCAACCACCAATGTAACCAACGGCTGTAAGAAACAGCCAAAACTCAATTATTGTGGAATTTGAAAGCGCAGAATCGAGAAATATGGTATTAGCAGTTGCATCTAATCTTTCCAACTCTGAATACAAGAATGTTTTTATCAGACCTGATCGAACAGTTGCGGAACAAGCTGAGTTTAATAAGCTTAACATTGAAAGAAAAACAGCAAACAGTGATCTTGAAAAACATGGTAATCTTGATAACCCATTTCGATTTGTCATCCACAGTGACAGGGTCCGCTGCATCGATGTATCTAAGACCCTTGAAATCAACGGCCGTTCAGTACACCCATTTGTTGAATGGCAAAAGGCCCAAATTGCACGCTCAAAACCAATCAATGCACAATAATATCAATGATACTATAAAACTATCTACATCAGGCCAAAAATGTTCAAACAAGCCATCAAATACTTTTTTAAGCCAAGAAATCAATTCAAACATCTTCATGCAAATTAAATCACAAAAAAATTGCCGATCAAATCACGAAAAATACAAGATAACAGAAAGTTATTTAAAATGCTGGTACACAAACGCTATGTCCTTAAATAATAAATATAATGAGTTGTTAATTGAGGTATTGCTTATATAGAAATGATAGAGCCTTCGGAAAAGGTGGTGGAGTGTGTATATATATTTTGCTAAAACTTTAAAATCTTTCAAAATTTCCAATACTGAACTTCAAAGTAACCTAATTGAACAGATTTGGTGTTCTTTAATCATTGGTAGAGAAAGACTTATATGCAGATGTATTTATCGTACGCAGATAGTGACATGATAACTGCATAAATGTAATGAGGTCAATTGAAGCAGCCGATAAGTTGGTATTGAATAAAAAAGCAAGTGGTATTCTCTTATGTGGGGATTTTAATTTCACTCAAATCAATTGGAGGGATTCTGTAGGCAAAGTAACTGGAAAAAACGAAATAGTGCAGTTATTTATAGATGGCTTAGATAAATTCTATTTGTTTCAAAACGTAATAAAACTAACATTTCATCTTGTAAATGATAAAAAAAAACAAAATTTGGATTTTGTAACAGAAAGAAATTCAAGAATTTTCAATTTAGTACACCACCCACCACTTCAGCACAGACTTAATGGACATCATATTCTTACTTTTTGCTATAATTTTACTCCATCAAATAAAATTGTTAATCAATCATACGCTAAAAAATATATGTATCATAAAGGGAACTACAGTAATATGAACAATTACTTTGATAAAATCAGCTGGGATAATCTCTTTGAAAACCTTAACGCAGACAAGTGTTACAATAAATGGTTACAACATTATGATATGGCATGCACTCCATACATGTATCCCACAATTAAATATAAATAGAATCAAAAGAGCACCTCGGCTTAATAAAAAATTAGCAGCATTGGTAAAGTTGAAAATAAAACTGTGGATCAAGTGTAGAAATCCCAAATTTAGAAACCAAAATTTATTTAAGTAGTGAATAATTTTTTTCATTCAGTTTTTCAAAAAGAAAACGACAATGTACCAACGTTTAATAAAGCATTACCTAAACCAATTGCAAATCCGAATATAAATTATGACACCGTTATTAAAAAGTTAAGTAAATTGAATGTTAATAAATCTACTGGTGAAGACAAAGTGCACCCAAGAGTTTTAAAGGAATGTTCTGATAGTATTTCAAATCCATTGTCAATTATTTTATCAATCCTACTCAAGTGGCATAATTCCGAGATTATGGCAGTGTGCAAATATTATCCCTATATTTAAAAAAAGAAGACAAATTGAAAGCAACAAACTACCGTCCTGTTTCATTAACGTCTGTCGTATGCAAAGTAATGGAGAGTATAATAAAAGACACTTTGATGGAACATCTTGTTGAAAATAAATTAATATCTGATTCGCAGCACGGCTCTGTCCGTAGTAAAAACTGTTGCACAAATTTACTAGAGTCTTTGGATTTAATTACACAGTCTCTGGAATTTGGTTTTTCAATTGATATAGCATTTTTGGACTTCTCCAAAGCATTTGATAGTTACACACAAAATATTGTTAATAAAATTAAAAGCTTATTGTGAAAATGAAGTTTTAGTAAGCTGGTTTAAAGCATATCTGACTAATAGAATTCAAAGAGTTGTCCTTGGTACTTATAAATCAGAATGGAAGGAGGTAACAAGTGGAGTGCCACAGGGTTCAGTAATAGGTCCGCTATTATTTGTCATCTATATTGATGATATATCACAAGAAATAAAAATTGCTGTAAGTTGTATGCCGACGATACAAAAATTATTTCGGTGATTACAAATATCAACGATAACTATGCAATGCAAGAGGATTTATTGAACCTTAGTAAATGGAGTAAAAAATGGTTATTACACTTTAACAACGAAAAATGCAAAATTATGCATATAGGGAAAAAATCCCTCGCTATATTTATTATATGAGCCAACCAACAAACAATGAAAATCATTACATTATGAGAAAAACATCTTTGGAACAATATTTAGGGGTCCTAATATTTAATGATATAAAATGGAAAAGTCATATAGATATGATTGCAGGAAAAGCAAACAGAATACTTGCTCAAATAAAACATTGTTTTATATACTTAGATAAAGACCTAATGAAACTGCTATATTGTTCATTAGGTCGACCCCAAATTTGGAATTTGCTTCACCAATTTGGAATCCTTATTACAAAAAAGACATTTTTAAAATAGAACAAGTACAACGAAGAGCAACAAGAATTAGATGTTTAAAAGGTATGAAATATGTGGAGCAATTAAAAGAATTTGGATTGACGTCATTAGAAAAACGAAGAGAACGGAGTGATATAATATAAAATGACATTCATAAAGTAAATTGGAAATACCCTCCAATAAACAACTTATATCCAAAATTAAGAGGTCATAATAAACGGTTGCACAAACAAAATGTTCGTATTTTGGAAGCAAGAATGCATTACTTTACTAATAGGATTATTAATAAATGGAACAGTCTTTAGTTAACTGATAAATGCTTACTTGTAGATAATTTGCAGTTTGCTCTTAAACTTGCTTACTTTTAAATAAATTGCAATTTGCCCTTAAATTGCATCAAACACCAAAATAAATTAATTCTCATATAGGAAAACTGATTTAGAAGCAATTATCAAAAAAAATGTATATTATAAGAAAAATTAAAATTCTTATCAAACTAAAAAGTTCATCTTTAATTTATTAAAAATAACATAAGACAAATTGGATAAAAGTCAACTAGTAAATTTAGGATGTATTTCAAGCTAATAATAAATTTAAAATGTCTCAGGAAAACTGACGAGTAAAAATAATAAACTTTTAATTTAATTAAATAATTTTAATTTTTTAATTAAATGATAAACTGTTTGTCAGCAGCTGACTGTTGACAAAAGAAACAAAAAATTATAAATTTATATATGTTTTATTTTATTATTATTTTTTTTTTGTTTTATTTTTGTTTTATTTTTATGAAATTTTTTGTGGTAAATTTAGCTCTCATATCTGGTAATTCACAACCTGTTGTCAGCAATTGTTCAAACACCGAAGAAGATCATAGACGACTAGAATTGTACCACAAATCTTTTGATGATCAAAGAGTTGATATTAATTTGATTATGGCTTTGATTTCCTCAATAACTAAAAAAACAACAGCATTACAAGGTTCAAAATTGTACTTATTTAATTCAAAAGTATTATTGTTTTTCAGATTTTTTTTTTTTTTTTAGTATAATTTTATAATAAAATAAATATTGATTTGAATTTACTAAAACTAATAGTAAACTTTTTTAAAGTAATTTTTTTTTCATAAGAATAATAATTTTTCAATCAACATATAGACTTTAGTTAGCACTGTGTTTTTGTTAGAGTTGTTAACAAGGCCAAAAGTAGCAAGGCCAAGGCCACATTTACCAAAGCTAAAAGTTACAAGAGTTTTAAGATTAAGGCCAAGATTAATAGTTTCAAGGCCAAGGCCTACGCAAACATTTTTTAAAACCAAACACTTCAGTTTTTGCCTTACGTTAAGGCCAATTATTAACAAAACTGTAAGTAGCAAGTGCTGTGACAATAAAACCACATTTTGTAAAAATAGACCAAGATTGTGCGCAGAATTTAACAAAATCAATAAGAAAATATGTATTTTTTTTTTTAAAAGCCATTGCCAAAATAATCAAGGCCAAGGCCAAAATTTTCAAGGCCAAGGCCAACAGTTTCAAGGCCTCAATTTTTGGCCTTAAGGACTAACTAAAACTAACTAAAAGGACAAGAACTAACAACACTGGTTTTTGTCATCGCATTCGACCCTAAAGAAAACATATGCAGATCGTAGACAAATTTTTGTGGATTCGTAGACAAATTTTTGTGGATCGTAGACAAATTTTTGTGGATATGTGTTTAAATACATAGTTAAATTTGTAGATTGGATGTTGAATTCTAATATTGGAATAAGAATGATTTGTATTTGCTAAATATATCTGGATGTTTGAGTACGCTGATTTTAGTATAGAAAATATTGAACTAATAAATATATAATAAATAAAATAAAAGTAATAAGAATTTTAAAAAAATTCAGGCTTTTTAAACATTTTAATTTAATTCTTTCAATAAAATTATTAATCTATGTAATAAAATTTTGATTTGTTAGCAATATTGTTATAAAAAACACAAATATAAAATACACAAATATAAAAGCACATTTAGATTATGCAATCTGACGTCATGCTGATTTAGGGGGCTGTAATGGCTTTTGTACATATATTGATTAATATAGGAAGAACATGCAAGGGAGTTGCTGTTACATTAACTGATGGTTTAGATTGGGGCAGTGATAAGCTTTTTCATTATTCTTTTTTTTTTTCTTCTTTTCGCATAAAAACGATATGGAATTAGTTTGGCATAAAAAGTGGGTAAATTTTTCATATAAATTTATATATATATATATATATATATATATATATATATATATATATATATATATTTATGTATATAGAGATCATCAAAATATCATTTTCGCTATTGATGTCTTCTGATATATATATATATATATATATATATATATATATATATATATATATATATATATATATATATATATATATATATATATATATATATATATATATATATATATATATATATATATATCAGAAAACATTGATAGCGAAGATAATATTTTGATGATCTTCAAGAACTATTTATATAATAAAGGTTTATACATAAAAAAAAATATATATATATACATATATATAAATATATATATATATATATATATATATATATATATATATATATATATATATATATATATATATAATATATATACATATATATATAATATATATATACATATATATACATACACTGCGCAAAATAATGATAAGAAACTCCAAAATTATTTATAAAACTCTACTATATATTTATATTTAAAAACTAATTTTTGTAGTAAATGAAAGCAAAAGGATTGCAAGACTAAACACCTCTTTAAAAAATTTATTTTAAGCCTAACTTGCATTTTATTTTAAAAAAAAAACTTTTATTTTTGTGCGACAAAATTATGTTAAAATTAAAAAGATATTTTTAGAAAAAATTCATATAAATTATCATTTATATAAAAAGACATCTCAATTTTAAACAACCAATAGCCACTATTGGTTTAAACAACCAATAGCCACTATTACCTTTCCCATTTTTTTGAATCACTTTAATCATAGAATTTAAAGAATCACAACTTTTTTATGAACGAAATGTCAATTGTATCCCATACAGATGCGATGGATGATTTTAAGTCAGCTAGTGAGCTATATTGTTTACCACCTTCAAACATATGTGAAAATATATGTGAAAGTTGTGCCCGAGCTCATTAGTTTTCAGGTCTCTAGGTCTAGCTGGCCACCAGTGTTTCAATTTTACTGCTTGTTGAAATATTCCTTTACTATTTTTAACTGTATGAATGCTCGCATTATCTTGCTGAAAAACAAAATTTTCACTACCTATGACAGATGCTTCACATTTTAAAAATTCTTGAACAATTAAAAGATAATCCTTAGTCTTCATTTTTCCATCAATAAAATGAATTTTTGATTTACCATTATACCCAATTGCACACCAAAGCACCACCACTCATTTGACGTCATTGCTGTGTTTCTGGTTCGTTACACAAATTGTGAAAATAATAATTCTATCTATCTGGCCCATCAAGGCAAAATCGTTTTTCATCAGAAAATACTACCTGTTGCCACTCTTCTTTCCATTTTATGTGGTCCTTTGCAAAATTTATTTGATTGTTTATGTGATTTGTTGTCAAAGGTGGTTTTTGCTGAAGTTTTTTGCGCGAAAGTTGAAAAGCATTAAGAATAACTTACTGAACTGTACATAAATTAGCAATCACACCTGCTTCTGCAGCAATTTGACGTGCAGTTAATGAAGAATTTGAAGCTTGTCTCAACAACCTTTGCCTATCATGGTCACTTAATGTTGATGGACATCCGATTTTTTTTATTCCATACATATGAGGACTAGTAGCGTAGTTTTTAATCACAGTTCTGCTGTGTCCAATAGCTCTAGCCATGTAACTAATGAAAACCCATTTTTGATTAATTAGAGAGCACTTTTTCCTCATCTGGACTTAACGGTGCAGTATGACCCATTATTAATTAATTTGTTATTTTATACTTAATAAAAAAAACCTAAGCTAAATTCTAGACAGTTCACAAAAGTTTACAGTTAAATAATCATCTGTGGTGTTTACATCAAATAAATATTCTTAACTGCCCACAACTGTGGTTTGCAAATAAAATGTTTTTTGTAAAACTGTCTTATAATTTTGTTGCACTGAAAAACCGTTTTTTTTTTTAATAAAATACGAGTTACGTTAAAAATTAATTTGTTAAATTATTGTTTAGTGTTATAAAACCTTAGCCTCCTTTTACAATAAAAATTAGTTTTCAAATATAAATATATGGTAGAGTTTTATAAATCTTTTTGGGGTGTTGCGCAGTGTATATATAATGTATGTAATATGTATATATATATATATATATATATATTGTATTTTGCAGGTGCAATTTTGGTGTTTCTACCTGGTTATGATGAAATAATTACTCTACGAGATTCTTTGATTGCAAGTCCTGAGTTCTCTTCAAGAGCAAAGTATCAAATATTACTTTTACATTCAATGATTCCACCATCAAGTCAGCGTAAAGTGTTTACAAAACCTCCTTTAGGTAAGATCTGCAAAATGACTTATTACTACAAAAGTTTCTTGAACTTAAAAAACGTAACTTCTTGAACGTAAAAGTTTCTTGAACTTCATTTATGTTAGTGTTCCCCTAACCTAGTTATATCCAAATATAAAGAAAAGTTCAAATTTTTATTTTGTCTAAAATAAAGTCTAGATTGTTACAAAAGAGATTTTTTAGACTAAATCTACTGTTCATATAGATCTAATATTAATGAACATAATAGATCTAATATTACTGAACAAATAAAATGCTCAGCTCTAGCCTGTAAAACATGTTAACACTAAACAGGTTAACACTATAATAGGCATCTTATAGCAAAAATTTCCTTCTTAAAATATTTTATATTATAAATGTCTCGGAACTTTGGAATCTCTTTATTGTTTACAAGTTCATTAATTAAATAAGGATTGTCTCCTTTTATGTGAACAAGTATATTTGTACTAAAATTATTATTTTAATATTTAATTTAACAATTTTAATGAAGAAAAATGTTAGTGAAGAAATAAACAATCTAGGACATATGCATGAGGTTACAAATTTAAACATTAAAATACAACTGAGTATCTCAAGATTTAAACCCCTTCAACACAGCTGAGTATCTCCTAATTATTGGTACAAAACATTTATTGTTAAATAAATGTTATTTTTGTATCTTGTTATTGATAATCAGCTTCTAAAAAGATCATGGCCTTGATCTTTCGAGTTACAATCAAACATCTGTCAGTTACAAATGAAAACATCTGAGTTTTTTTCAAACATGTTTTTGGAAGTTTAGACCTATTAGTTTTTAGTATACATGTTTTTTAGTGACTAAGTGGCTAATTCTTAACACATGGTGAGCACTGGATACCCTTGGTAATTTATCATGGCAATTTATGATGTCATGGAAAAGACACGGCATTTCTTTTTTAAATTTGATTGGCTGCCCTTCAAGGAGGGATGGAGAGAGAAATCAAATAAAAACTTTGTATTCGTTTACAGCAAGCATTTTTTATTTCAGTGTCACTTCAATTTTTTTTTTCCAGTTGTTTTAGTTATATGTATTTTATTTTTATTTAATTTTATTATTTTATGACAGGTGTGCGAAAAATAATTCTTTCAACAAATCTGGCAGAAACAAGCATTACAATTGATGATGTGGTTTATGTAATTGACTCGGGAAAAGTTAAAGAAAACAGTCACGATCCTATAAATTCTGCTTCAACATTGCGAACAGTTTGGATTTCCAAAGCGAGTGCTATGCAGCGTAGAGGTAAAAACATCTTTAAAATTAAAGTCTTAAATAAAAATAAAAAACATTAAAATTTTTAGTAAATAATTTAACTCTCATTACAATTTGTATTTTTTCTTTTTCAATTTTTTTTCTTCTTTTTTAACTTTTTCTTCTGTACTTTTTGTTTCTGGTTTTCTTGATAAATATAGTGCATAAAAAAAAAGTTTTAAGATGAAATAACTTTTAAGATGAAATAGTAAGGTTTTGTTTTTCAAAAATATGCTCAATTTTTTTTACCAGGTCGAGCTGGTCGTTGTTCAAATGGTATTTGTTATCATTTATTCAGCCAAGAACGCTTTCAGCATTTACAACTATATCAAGATGCTGAGATCCTGCGTATACCAATCCACAGTTTATGTTTGCAGTCAAAAATGTTAGCTCCTGTAAATATTTCCATTGCTGACTATTTGTCTAAAGCACCAGAACCTCCTTCTATCCTCATGATTAGAAATTCAATTCATCTTTTAAAAGCAATTGGTGCTTTAGGTATACTTTGATTAGATTTTATAACATTATTTTTTTAAACAAAAGTTTTTAGACAATTTTTTAATATTTCAGCTACATGTGTTAAAAATCTTAGCTTAAATGTTAATTTTATAGTTTTTAGCTCAGATAAAAAATGTTTTTAGATCAAGCTTAGTACTATTATTTTTAAGTTTCAAACCCAAAAATTTTCAAAATAAAAGCATTTTATTTTTAACATAAGTCTTTCTGAAAAATGAAATAAGTAGTCAACTTCTCTCAATTAAGGCAATCCAAAAAAAATCTAAAAATAAAAGCTGTAAAGTTAGAGGTTTTCTTAAACTTATAGGATATTTTGAACAAAATCATATATCAAAGTTAGATTAAATTGTTCCATTGGAAAATGGTACCAACAGTTGTTGCACCCATATATTTTTTTATATTGTCTTATTAAAAAGTTTTATTAAATTTAATACATAATTTTGTTTTCAATTTTTGTTTTTTTTTTTGTTTAAAATTAATATTAGCAAAAAAAAAAAAATTTTGTCACCGTAGCAAAGAAAAATGTTGTCACCATGACAGAAAAATTTTTTCACCCTGACATGAAAAATGTTTTTACTATGACATGAAAAATGTTGTTACCTTGACTTGAAAAATATTATCACCATGACAAGAAAAATGTCACTATAATATTTCCTATATCATGTTAAACAGTGGTGTGCAAAAATTTGTTTTTTATTCTATTATTAAACTTATTAAATTTTGATTTTAAATACTGTTTACTCCAATATCTTTACTACTGTTTATTCAAATGGTGGCTAAAGTATGATTGCTTATTTTGTTCAAAAAAAGAAACAGTTATTATTAATAGTCTCTCGAGTTATTATTCACAACAGACCTTTGTCATGGAAACTGTATGTACAGTCTATATCAAAGTTAGCATCTAAGATTTTTTCTATTTATTTTACTTACTTTCTTAATCCTGATTCCATTCATTATTTCATAAATCTTTTATTTGTCCTTGTATGGATTACAATGGATTATTGTTATATTTGAACTGGTTTTTTTAATGAGTTCCTCCCTTTTAAACAAGGTTTTAAAATATATTGCAAATGTTATTGGATCTGCTATGCAGTCAAGCTTGAGCTTTAGATGTTACTCATATAAAACTGAAATAAGTTCTCTCAACTTTGGTACATTTTTTGCTGCTGTCAAAAGATTCATTTCTAAAATGTTCATACCTGAACATTCCTCTTAACATAACGCATGAGCTGCATTTCAAAAAAAGCTTTTTTTTTTTAGAATCTTGTAGAAAGATATCTCAGTATATAGTGAAAAAACTCACTTAAAAAACTGTGATAAGTTATTCTGTTTCTTTAGCTGTGTAACTGTTCATTTTTGTTTGAACTGAAAAGCTGTTTTCTCTCAGGTAACTGTCTCTTGCCAATCCCTCATTTGATACATGTTCATTTACTGCACCAATTTCTACAAAAATCAGTTGATATATGTATAATCTGCTGTGTTTATTTTTAAAAAATTAGTTAATATATATAAACTTTCTGTGGCTATTCCTATATAATTTGATAAATGTGCATTTTGCACATGTAAAAAAACCAAATATTTAAAATAATTTTTAATATTTAAAATACAAATATTAATAATAATTTGTATTTTAAATATTAAAAATAAGTCTCATTTTATATGACTTTTTTACATTTATTAAATGTATATTATATTTATGTAACTATTTTATATTTCATTGCATACGATTTTTTTTTGATAAGCAATTAAATATAATATAGTTAATATTTATTTAAAAATACAGTTAATGTTTGTTTAATAATCCATTGATAAAATTTTTGATTTTAAAGTTTTTGATGTTTTAATCCATAAAATTTAATCCATAAAATTTTAGGATTTCAATGACTTAAAGAATCCATAAAAAAAAACATAAAATATTGTTTATACATAATAAGTATTATTAATAAGATATTGTTTTATCATACATAAAAATAATTAAAAAAAAAAAAATTATTTTTGCTTATAACCGAATAATCTTTAGAGTAATCTTACGTAAAATATTCGATGTAAAACATAACATCTGTTTCTATCCGATGTAAAACATAACATCTGTTTCTATCCGATGTAAAACATAACATCTGTTTCTATCCAATGTAAAACATAATATCTGTTTCTATCCAATGTAAAACATAATATCTGTTTCTATCCAATGTAAAACATAATATCTGTTTCTATCCAATGTAAAAATTTAGAAGAATTTTAGTAATTAAAAATTTTCTGGTTGAAAAAGCAACTTCCACCAATTAATAGATTTAAAACATGATTTTTAAAGAATTAATTTTATCAAATTGTGTGTGTGTGTGTGTGTGTGTGTGTGTGTGTGTGTGTGTGTGTGTGTGTGTGTGTGTGTGTGAATCAGCCCTCAGAATTAAGGTGGGGAATTGGCAATGCTGGCCTAACTGCCGACTTCAAAGTGTTTGAGGTTGGCCAACTTTGTTATGATGTTTTATGGTAAGACTTTTGTATCAAATTTTTTTTTGGCAACCTCTAAAATATATATATATATATATATATATATATATATATAAATGGTTCTTTTGTATTTTTATAATGGTTTTGTCATCTATACTATATAATAATTTTAGATGAAAATGAAGACATGACTGATCTTGGGAAAGTTTTGGTTGAAATTCCAATTGAGCCACAGGCAGGAAAATTGATTTTAATGGGACTTACATTAAAATGTTTAGAACCAGCTATCATTATTGCTTGTTGCTCATCATTTAAAGATCTTTGTAAGTTTATTCATTCATTTAATTTTATAATATTTAGTTTATAGTTATATAATAGTTTGTTAATTGCTATAATATAATATGATAATTGTTTTCTTATGTGAAAAGTCTTGCTAATTATTAGGGATGTACCGAAGCTTCGGCTTCGGCGTGCCGAAGCTTCGGCAATTTTGCCGAAGCTTCGGTTCGGCCGAAGCCAGGTCAATTTTTTGCCGAATCTTTGGCTTCGGCAAAAAATTTTAATTAATTAAAGTTATAAGCTACTGTGGGACAAGTTATAAAAATAAGCTAATTGCCAGTGTCTAATAAAGTTATAAATTTAGGACTACAGAGTTAAAGTTGGAGTCTATACCATATACTTAGTATTATTTACTCCCAAGTGTCTTGTTATGGAGGGGATAATAATAAATAAGTAAAAATATTTTGAAAAAAATAATAAAATTAAAGAAGGTCCTCAAACACTTTGAATGCTTCCAAGTGTGACTTTAGATGAACTGAAGCAGCATTTCTATGCAGAATAAAAACCTTATAATTTAAAACAAATTAAAAGTTTTTAAAACCTTAATAACGAATTCATATTAATTATTGTGTAGGATTACCGCAAATAGAACAAAATTTGGTTTCAACATTTGACCGATAAACCTTAGTAATCTCTCTTTAAAGAAGATTAACGATACGTTGCTACTATTTTAAATTGTGTGTATGTTTAATTTTTTAAAATTTTATTTAACCATATTAATAAAAATTTACAAATTTTCATCGTAAATTTACAGAAATTGGCTAGGTGTCACTTATATAGATACAAAATAGTCAATGGAGTGACACATAAAAAACAAAAAGTTCTCAACAACAAAAAAGCAAGAAAAGCAAATGAAATATTAACGAGGAGAATAAAAAAAGAAAAAAAAAAGCCAACAAAAACTAGATAAATTAAAAGAAAAAGAAAAACAATGATAATAACTATCCTTGCTTTTTTATTAATATTATGAATACTTCTAAATTGAATTTATATATTAAACATATAAACCAATATTCTGGTTTCTTCTTATGATATTATGAAGACTTTTAAATTTTATTTAAAATAAATTAAAGGTTGAAGCTTTGATTACTTTGAACTCTTATATTTATCATCAAAATTTATTTAAATTAAATAAACAATTTAAATCAAATAAATATCAGCCTGCTCAGTCCCTGTTTATTTATAAATATAAAGTGAATAATAATATAATTATTAATAAAAAATTTATAAAGTATTCTATTTATTATTTTATTTAAAGCTCACTCTACAGAGTTGTTAGATTACTTTGGAAGTTTTTATCACAGATAGTTAATATTTGATTTCAGATACTGATGCAGATTTATCCATTATAGAGACAGAAGAAGAATGAATACTAAGATTTCAAAGTATAAAGTTGAAAATAATTAAAAAAAAAATACTTAAAAATGTGTAAAAAAGAAGTTAGAGAGAAATCTATCATTTGTACTTTTTTTTAACAGCAGGAGCACAACAGTTGTAGTGGAATCCAAAATGGTCTTAACTTGGGTTTTTTTTAGTTTAGAAATTGTTCGTTTAAAGAATACAGAGAAGTAAAAAAAAGATATTGAAATAAATAGCAATAAAAAGATAAAGTGTGTTTCTAAGATTTTTTATGTTGTAGATACAACTAGATCAGTTAAGAGTGTTTATTTAAAGAAAGAGTGATCAAGTGCAAAAGATAATTTTACTCTAGTAATGTTCAGAGATTTTTATCCACTTCTATTTAACAAAAGGTGCATTAAAAATAAAAATAAAATATACAGCACATGAAAAAATGCTATATAACATTAATATGGTTTGCACACAGAAAAAGTAGAACTAGAAGTAAGAAAATTTGGAGAGAATGTTTCAAAAAAGCTTAAGTTTAAAAAAAAAACGCTCGATGCGGTCAAGTATCAGAAACGACATAATGAGAAACTTTTAAACAGGGGTGCTGAGAGCTTTTGCCCTGCCTGGAACAGCAACCCTGACTGGCGTCCTCATTTTTATACAATTTTTCTATATTATTAGTCAAGGACCTTAGTTTTGGTACCTTTTTTGTTTTACACCCCTGCTGATCTGAATGCTGATTAAATTTTAAGCATATATAGTGCCGAAGCTTCGGCTTCGGCCGAAGCTTCGGCTTCGGCAAAGTGGCTTCAACCGAAGCTTCGGCTTCGGCAAAATTTCAGCTTCGGTACATCCCTACTAATTATGTTAAATTTATTTTAGTTTTATTATGTTTTGTTGTTTATTTTTCATTTTGTTGTTGTTGTTTTTGTTCATGGTACCATTAACAAACCTCGCCATATTTCTGGTATTTCAAAGCTGAACTTGTTCCTTTATGTAGTTACCTTGTCAACACAATGTAGTGGAACATAGGTTGTGTTAGATATTCATTAGATTTTTATTTTTGTTTTGAATCTATTTTCTTGCTTCATAAATGTATCAAACAAAGTCTTCTATTGGTATCTTCCTCAAAAATTAATTAATTAATTTAAAATAATTGGAGAGATTGCATTCTTTTTGAACAGTTTGTTAATTCTTCGAAAACATATTTAAATTTTTTTGTGCAGAATTACCTACTGGAGTAAAAATTGGCAATTTTTTTACTTTAAAATCTTCTGATGTTTTGTAATAAGATTAAAAAAATTTAAATAAAAATCTAGCTTCTTGCCTAGAACTATTATAAATTTACAAATGTTATCATATATCATTGATATTAAAAAATATTTTTACTAAATAAGGTCAATAGAATGCCACTGCATACTCCAAATAAAACAACCAAATTTTAAAAAAACCATGTTTAATCAACTTGATAATGTTGTTAAAGGCATAATTTTAATTCATTTTAGTTCATATCATTCATCAATTTTGCATTTCATCATTTATCATGCAATTATTTGTTCATTTTTATTATTGACATTATTTTATGACTCTTTCAACAAACTGTAAATAACCCAAACAAAAATATGGATGATGAACAAACAAAAATGATGATGAACAAATCACTAAATGCTCATGATTGGTCCTCAGGATTTTTCTCACTCGATATTCTCAAATGTAATCAACGCCTAAGGTAATAGGATGGAGAGATGTTGTAAGGAATATGATATTTAACTGACTAGTGATTGATTGCAGTATTCTCCATGAAACCTTCTTTTGTCATCCCATCAAATTTGAGTGTGCCTGTGGGAAGTATTCTGCTTGGCGGTCCTTTATATGCCACATTTAATTAAAAATTGTTACATTCTATTAAACAAACAATAAAAAAAAACTCAAATAAAAATTATAAAACAAGATCAATAAGAGATCAATTCACACCAGCAAATTTTTTTATGTAACAAACAGGTCACTTCATAATTCACAAGTCTGACAAAGATTTTTGTTAGGAGTTTTTAAAAGTTATGGCTATCACAATACATGGAGTTAATTTTAAAAGTAAATTAAAAAAATGCTTTAACTTTTGCATGTATGTATGTATGTATGTATGTATGTATGTATGTATGTATGTATGTATGTATGTATGTATGTATGTATGTATGTATGTATGTATGAATGTATGTATGTATGTATGTATGTATGTATGAATTTTTGTATGTATGTATGTATGTATGTATGTATGTATGTATGTATGTATGTATCAAGTCTTCTCAGGAGACCCATATGGTTATACATCATATATAACCTTGCATTCATTTTTTTTTTTTGGCAACTTGGCCACAGTTTTTTGCATATATTTATAATTTGCATGTTTTAAAAAATGCGCTGAAAAAATCAAATTTAACAAGAAAATTAAAAATAAACATAAACTGATAGAGAAACAAACCATAAACTGATAGAGAAACAAACTTAACAAAAAACCATAAACTGATAGAGAAACAAACTGAACGAATTGAAGAAAAACAAACTTAACGAAACTGATAGTGAAACAAACTTAACAAAAAACCATAAACTGATAGAGAAACAAACTTAACGAATTGAAAAAAAACAAACTTAACAAATATTAAAATAAGTAAAGAATCAGGGAATATCTTTTTCTAGATATTTCCGGAATTCCGGATATTTTTCTCAAAATATAGTTTTTCCGCATATCCAAAATGTTTTCTCATACATTCAAGTTTATATAATATTTGTTTTAATGTATATACATTTTTCATTTTCAGTGATCAGCCATAAAAAAAATGTCAAAAATGTCTATAAAAATTCTGAAACCTACCAGCTGAGAGCAAAATTAGGAAAATAGTAAGGGAAAATATGTTCAAGATTTTTCCGGATATTTTACATAAACTATATTTTCCGGATTTTTAAAAAATAACCTGGGTGATCAGTGAGAATAAACCAGAGAAAATAAAAACATAAAGCTATTACATTTTTTAATTTAAAAGCGCCTCATTAGTTCAAACTTAATTAAAAAGTTTTTAAATTAATAGTTTAAAGCTATTAATTGTGTCATTTATGAGGCGTGATTGTTATATCAGCATTGGTTGAGGGTTCAAATCCTAGAAACAGATTGTTGTTTTTTTTAATGTTTTTTATGTTGCTTTGTAGACCTTAGAAAATGTCAAAGTTTTAAATAATAAAATAATTAAGTTTCGAAGTAATTAAACTTTAAAACTTCAATTTTTTAAAAATTCTATGTAATGAAACTCTTCTAAACTAAAATAAAAACATATTAACTTTATGCATTTATTTTTTTGGGTTTATATTTTACTTATTTTAATATTTGTTATTTTTATTCATTTCATCATTTGTTAAGATTTTGATTTTTTAATTTAGTCTTGTATTTTCTTTTATTTTTTATTTTTTATTCTCTTTCTAGTTTATAGTTTGTTTATTTATAATTTTACTTTCAGCTTTCATTTGGTTATTAACACATTTTTTAAACAGGCTTACTTAAAACATGCAGGCTAAGTTGTCAAAACAAAATATTATATGCGTGGTCATATAAGGCATGCGACCATATATTGCCACCTATTATAATTGATTTTTTTAAATTTATTCAACTCATCCCTTTCTTTTAATTCATAAGTAATGTGTTAATACTAGTGACATCATAAAAAAAGTCTTTATTCAATGCCTTAAAATGTTTTTGATTTATATATGTAATTATTTTTCTATTGATTTCATTTTAGTTGTTCTTCCTGTAAGTGCATCTCAGAAGAGTCTTGCAGCTAATGTAAAATTTAGATTAAGTGCTGACTCATTCAGTGATCAAATATGTTTATTACGTGCGTTTCAGGGCTGGCAGCATGCTAAAAGAGCAGGTCGTGAGAAGTTATATTGTTCCAAGAATTTTTTGTCACCAGGTAACAAATTAAATCCGTATTGGAGTTTTTACACTTTCACAGGTGATTTTCGTTATATAACAGTTATTTAATGTCTACTAAATTTTGTTGGAAGTAGTTAATATCAGTTAGAAAATGAAATCAGGGAGAACTATTTGCTAAGAATTTAATGATTGAGATAATCATTAAATTCTAAAAATTCATTTTTAGAATTTAATGATTATTTCAATCATTTTGGCTTTTGTTGTTAGAGCTATTTTTTACTTAAACATTTCTATGGCTTGTGGCCTAATAACATTTTCAGAGAATTGGATGTGTGGTCCTAAAAAACTCTAGAATTGGATGTGTGGTCCTAAATTTAAAAAACTCTAGAAATAAAAGCTTATTAGTGTCTAACAACTTTTTCTATTGCTAATCAATACAGATGTTGATAAATTTTTCTGTTGTGTATTTGGTAATATAATAGCAGAAAGGTTCTGTTGTGCATAAAATGGTAGCACTGAGGCAAAGCCTATTCTTGACATATAAATGCTAGGTTTTCGACATAGGTTTATCTCAGCTCTTAAGTTTAATTTTGCTGCTAATAAAACTTATAAATTAAAGCAGAATAACTGTTAATACAACATAGAAATTGCAGTCTCGTGATCTCTCTGTGTATGTGATTTTTCTTTTATGACAGCTTAAGTCTTGCAGTGCATGGTAAATAATCTTAAACAAGTTGTTAGCTGGTAACGATTGTTACAATAATAATGGTGTTTCTATCCTGATGCTGATAGCCTGGTTCTTATTATTATTGCTGGTTCTATTTTTTTTTATCTCATTTCTTTTTGTATAGAATACTATTGTCATATTTGGGCTGCTTCTTCTAATAATGCTCTTTTTCTTTTTGAGTTATATTTTCAATGCATTTTTAGGCAAGATCTGGATGAGTATGTGTTTGTGTATGTGCGTGTGTGTGTATATATTATCATCTCTTGTTTTACCTACCAAAACTTAATTCTCCATTATTCATTATTTAATTTTTCACTTTAAGTTTCCCTTCATGCTCAAAAACCTTTTATTTATCTGTTTTTTTTCCTTGAACATCAATACTTTCATTTCACTTTCATTTGTGTTCTATTACTTTTTCTGACTTAATATAAAATATTATAATTATATAAAACTAATACGTTAAAGTACTTGCAACCTGTTTTGAATAATTGTTATATTTTAAGAAAACCTTGAATTTTTTCCACTGAATAATGCATGAAGTTGCATAGATTGTTAATAAATATTAATAATATAGAGTTAAACAGTGTGTCGCCACTAAAGTTAATCCTGTTAATACTTTATAAGTTAAAATTTTGTGTGAAGGAATAACAATAATGTGATAGAACTCTCCTTTTAAAGTTTTCTTTGCTTATATTGTAAATGTAACATAAGTACTGTAAGGTTGCCAAAATTGTGTTGCATAAATATTGAAACATTGATAAAAGTTATGGGCGTAGACAAAGGAACATTGTAATATCGTCAGTAATGGTGTTTATTGACACAGTGTCACTTTTCTGAAGTTCTGTATCTGTACTCATAAACAATCATAACTGACTAAAAAAAAAATTACTGATACAATTGTAATGCACAAATTTGGTTCTTTAGCAAATAATTGTTTTGTTTCAAATTCATTTGAAACAAAACAAATAAAATAAAATTTTTTCATTTGGTTCCATTTTTTTAAAAAGGTTTTAAAAATTGACTTATTTACATAAAATTTTCATATTTGATTAGCTCTTAAAAGAAAGAAAAGAAAAATGAAATTTTTTAATACATGATAATTCAGAATAAAACTAAAAATATAAACTAATAAATTTTTTATATTAATATATTCAACAATTGCTTTATTAAAAGTTTGATTCTTTTGATTTGTGATAGTTGTGTTATTACTATTAATTTTAATAATTTATATAAATATATAAAATATATAAAATGTTAAATATATTTTTATAATTAAATATCTATATAAAATATAATTTTATTAAATTTACCTAATATCCTGGCTCCAGAGATGGCCACTGTTTTTTTTATCTTTATGTACATTTAACATTTTAAATGCCAACATAAGTTAGCATTTAAAATGTTACATAAAAATGTTAGTTTGTGCGACAAAAAAACTTGGTTATAAATGTAATCATGGCAAGTTTATTTACTTATATTATTTATCATATTTGTATTTATTTTATATTTATTACTATTACTATACATTTATATTTATTTTTTAAATACACCTATAAAAACGTTTTCAGCATTATTACTAGAGGATGGCAGCCAGAGCCAGAGCTGTAGGATTCAAAGAGTTTTGGAAAAAGTTAGAGCCATGGGAACTGGCACTGTAGGTTTTTGAAAGGAGCCAGAGCAATTATAACAACTGCTGGCTCCTTGTCTTCTTTCAGTTTCAATTTTCTATTCAATTTATTGATTTGTGTAATAGATCTGGAATGGTCTTCCGTCTATTCTATGTCTATGCAGTACCATTATATCTATGTGGTACCACTATGTCTATGTGTTACCACCATGTTATGTGGTACCACTATGTCTATGTGGTATTTCGGCACTAACTGGTAATGGTATTACCAGTTTTTCCCAATAATTTTTTTTAATACATAAAATATGTAATCTAAATTTTTCAAAGGTATTTAATGCATAGCTGCAGCAAAAAAACTTGGGTGTCATTCATAATTAAAAAAAATATATAGAACTAGAGCTAAACATTTATTTTATTATTGATTTTTTAAATGCGTGCTCTTAACTTCTTTACTCAAAAGTTGATGTTATTTTATTTCAATGCCACAAAATAGATATAGCATTGATGTCAGTTTAATTCAATACCAATGTAGCATTATTAGTGATTTTTAAATGACAAAAAATTACTCTAATAAAAAAAAACCCTGAAATAGCCTAGGGTTGTTTGCCGAAAAACAAAACTTGCGAAAATTTTGCAATTTTATCAACCGTAATAGAATTGTTATTGCGAAAGTTGCACATGCGAAAATGCACATTCCGTAACGCACTATACGAAAGTATAAATAAATAAAATTCCGTAATGAAGCATTGCGAAAGAAAACTTGTGAAACAAATCATTTCGTAAGAATACTTAAGAAATAGTTCCTTACGGAAGGAGCATTCCGGAATGTGCAGTTACGAAAAAGACGCAAAAGATTTTATGTTGCGATATATTTAAGATATTAACTGTTAACAGTTTAAATAATAAATAATAAAATTATAAAAAAATGTTCTCAAATGATTCTTCAAATGTTTATACAAATATACCTAATATATATATATATATATATATATATATATATATATATATATATATATATATATATATATATATATATATATATATATATATATATATATATATATATATATATATATATATATATTAGGTATATTTGTATAAATATTTGAAGAATCATTTGACAATATATATATATATATATATATATATATATATATATATATATATATATATATATATATATATATATATATATATATATTTTTTTTTTTTTTTTTTTTTTTAACATCTTCACTTCCAACAAGGCTGCAAGCAACCACTATAAGAGTTGGAAGTTACTGGAAGAGAAAAGACTAAATCTGTAGAGCAAGATAACGATTGACTGATGACTTAAAAGATTGCAAATTATATGAATCAGGAAAGCAAGATGAAGGAAGCGAATTCCAAAGAACTGATGTTCGAGGAAAAAAACTAGAAGAATAAGAGTTTTTGGAGCACTTAGGAACAGTCACAGAAAAAGGATGAGACTTAATTGAATGGCGAGTAACACAAGAATGAATTTTAGTAGATGGCACAAGGGACGCTAGCTCTTTAGAGCAGTGCCCATTATAGTATTTGTAGAAAAGAGAAAGAGAAGCAACATTACGACGATGTGACAAAGGTTGGAGATTGGCTGCCAGAGCAGGTCCAACTATGTTTACAATTCGTTTTTGCACCTTGTCTAAAAGAGAAAGAGCATCATTAGAAGATCCGCCCCAGATGTGGCAGCAGTATTCCATACAGGAACGGATTTGAGATTTATAGAGATAGAGAATAGAATCTGGAGTAAGAAAGTGTCGAGCTCGATAAAGAGATGCAACCTTAGCAGATGCTAATTTTGCAATGGATTTGATATACGGTTTAAAAGAAAGATCAGAAGTAAGAGTTAATCCTAGAAGATGAATGGTAGATGACTCATCTAGTACATTACCATTCATAAATATAGGAAGATCTAAATTATTACGATAACGATTGGCAGAATAAAATTGAGTTTTATCTGAATTAAAGTTCACCAGCCACTGTGAGCCCCATGCTGTAGCAGAAGTGAGATCCTTTTCAAGCTCAGATACCCCCTCCAAGCAATCAGAGAGTGTAGGCTTCTTATCATGACAAGAGTAAATGGTAGTGTCGTCAGCGAATAATGCCACCTTAGATGTGAGAATATCTGGAAGATCTTTAATGTAAATTAAAAAGAGTATAGGGCCAAGGATTGAACCTTGAGGAACCCCTGAAGTTACAGGATGTGAGGACAACTTTTATACTACGATTGGAAAGAAAGGACTCAATAATCTTAAAGATGTTACCAGCTACACCATAAGAAGAAAGCTTATGGAGAAGACCAGCATGCCAAACTTTATCAAAAGCTTTAGAAATGTCAAGTGCGATAGCCTTAACCTCTCCACCTCTATCTAATGCACGGTAAAACCTATCGGTTATTACTGTTTTCACATCAGCTGTAGAACGAGAAGACCGAAATCCATATTGATGATCAGAAAGTAAGTTATTTGATTCAAGATGAGAGATTAAGTGTTTGTTGATTAAAGATTCAAAAACCTTGCTTATGACAGGAAGAAGACTAATGGGACGGTAGTTAGATGAATCAGATCGCTCTCCGGAATTTTTGAAAATAGGGATAACAGATGCTGCTTTCCAGCATGATGGAAAACAAGACTCTGATAAGCACTTGTTAAATAGTTTTGAAAGT